CTCTCTCTCTCTCTCTCTCTCTCTCTCTCTGGCCCCATGCAACCTTTTGGGAGGGGCAGGGGGGCACACCCGGTGGTACTCAGGGGCTTCCTTCTGGCTCTGCGCCCAGAGATCACTCTGGCAGTGCTCAGAGGACCATACCAGGTGCCAGGGATGAAACCCAGGTCATCTGCTTACAAGGCAAATGCCGTCCCTGCTGTGCTCTTGCTTCAGCTCAGCGGCCTTGTTTTAGTAGCTTCACTTTCGTAGCAAATCCAGTGTGAGAGTTTGCTTTTGTTTTTCCCAAATGAATTATTTGTGCCGGGAGCTCAGCGGGGTAGTCTGGGTAGGCTGTGTCTGAAGTTGAGCTGTCAGCTTGCTCTCGACCTGCCCTCCTCATGGTACAAACCACCCTCCTCTGATAAAGTCCTCCGAGTCCTTCCTCAGACGGGACTGCACCTCACTCCAAATCCTGAGGCATCCCTCTTCTTGTGGCAAAGGGAGTGAAAGCCCACGGAGGCCGTGTGGCTAAGGGCCCAGCGCTGCCCCGATGCCCGAGCCACTCGTTCTGCAGCCACGAGCCTCTCTGGGCCGCCCTCCGTCAAGCCAGAGCTGGGCACACACTGCCACAAGTGTCCCCTCATGTGCTTGGCTGTGGAGCGAACGAAGAAAGACAAGAGGCTCTGTCCATCGCCACCTCCAGTGCTGTCCCCGAGAAAGATCTTGCGGAAGAGATGGGGACCCCACGATCTGCTTGGGATTAAGTAAGGCCCATGAGCTGTGCAGTGGCATATGCGCCCCTGAAGATCTTTGTGGAGGACAGTGGCGCTGTCCCCCCCACACACACATACCCATGCTCTAAACAGGCAGGATTGTTGCCCCCGCCTCACTGTTGGGTGGCCAAGACTGCAAACTGCAATGGGCCTTCCTCCTAGAGACAAAAGTGCCCTCTTCCATTTACAGGTAGAGGTAGAGGATGTGTGTGTGTGTGGGGGGGGGGGGGGGGGGGCTGAGGCAAGAGCTGAAAGAGATTTAGTGACGTGCCCCCACCGTTGGCAGCTTTTCGGCGGCTGAGCCCCAAGCCACTCCTGACTTCAGCACAGTGGTAAGGAAATGAGGTGGGCGGGATGATCACAGAGGAAACTGTAAGTGCATGGGACCTCCGTTCAACAGGGAGTCCCCAAGAGAAGCAGGGCTGTTTCAGCAGCAGCACAGCACCCCAGGGTATGCAAGTGTATTAAGTTGCCAGGGCTTCACAGTATCTGAAAAGCGGTGCTACAAAACCGGGGGAGAATGGGCTTGTAGGAACTGTGGGGTTAGGCTGCCCTCTCGTGGCCTGATGGAGACGTTGGATTAAGCTTGCCACCTTTCAGTGTTCCTTAATGCTAAATTTCAGTTTTTTTTTTTTTTTTTCTTAATTTTCTTTTTTTTTTTTTTTAATTTATTTATTGAATCACTGTGGGAAAGGTTACAAAGCTTTCAGGTTTATGTCTCAGTCATGTAAATATCAAACACATTTCCCTTTACCAATACTTATTTTTTACCATGAAGAATCCCAATAAAACCTCACCCCCCACCCCTCCCCGTCCCTGTGAGGCAGATGAATTCTAGTTAACACTCTATCTGCTTTGATTAGATTCATTGTTTCAATAAAAGATTCACCACTATTATTTAGAGTTTACCCCCCCCCCCCCCCAAATCAGACATGCTGAAAAAGCATTGTGAAGTGATTTGCTTTCTACGGCTGGGTTCAAGAATTAAATGTTGGTTTTGGATTTCTGCTCTTTTACCTATTGATCCTGGAAGTATTTCTACTGAAAGTCAGATAGTTAAGAAATTGGTTTCTGTGTTCTGGAGTCCTGGCCGTGCTGGAGAGCCGCTCGCGGGGGGCAACCGGTGGCCTCGGTAGGGCGTGAAGGGCGGACCGAAACGCCCCCCTTCCCATGAGGTTTTAGTCGCCCCCACACTCCCGGCTCATACCTGCTGTCCACAAGGCTCCCATGTGGCCGCCATCTTTCTTTCCAGAGAGGAGAGGGCGAATGGGGCAACACCCTTTCCCCTCCGGCAGACTTGATGGCCTGGATCAATGCATAGTCCGTTCACTTTTCTGCTCCAAGCTGCTGGGTTCTGCATTAAGTCCTTGTGCTTCTGGGGCCGTGGCCGTGCTGGAGAGCCACTCGTGGGGGGCAACTGGTGACCTCGGTAGGGCGTGAAGGACGGATCAGAACGCCCCCCTTCCCATGAGGTTTTAGTCGCCCCCACACCCCCGGCTCATACCTGCTGTCCACAAGGCTCCCATGTGGCCGCCATCTTTCTTTCCAGAGGGAGGAGGGCGGAAGGGAGCAACACCCTTTCCCCTCTGGGCAGAAATGATTGCCTGGATTAACGCATAGTCCTTTCACTTTTCTGCTCCAAGCTGCTGGGTTCTGCATTAAGCCCTTGTGCTTCTGGGGCTGTGGCCGTGCTGGAGAGCCGCTCGTGGGGGGCAGCCGGTGACCTCGGTAGGGCGTGAAGGACGGACCGGAACGCCCCCCTTCCCATGAGGTTTTAGTCGCCCCCACACCCCCGGCTCATACCTGCTGTCCACAAGGCTCCCATGTGGCCGCCATCCTTCTTTCCAGAGAAGAGAGGGCGAATGGGGCAACACCCTTTCCCCTCCGGCAGACTTGATGGCCTGGATTAACGCATAGTCCGTTCACTTTTCTGCTCCAAGCTGCTGGGTTCTGCATTAAGTCCTTGTGCTTCTGGGGCCGTGGCTGTGCTGGGGAGCCGCTCGTGGGGGGGGCAACTGGTGACCTCGGTAGGGCGTGAAGGACGGACCAGAACGCCCCTCTTCCCATGAGGTTTTAGTCGCCCCCCACACCCCCGGCTCATACCTGCTGTCCACAAGGCTCCCATGTGGCCGCCATCTTTCTTTCCAGAGGGAGGAGGGCGGAAGGGAGCAACACCCTTTCCCCTCTGGGCAGAAATGATTGCCTGGATTAACGCATAGTCCTTTCACTTTTCTGCTCCAAGCTGCCGGGTTCTGCATTAAGTCCTTGTGCTTCTGGGACTGTGGCCGTGCTGGGGAGCCGCTCGTGGGGGGCAACTGTTGACCTCGGTAGGGTGTGAAGGACGGACCGGAATGCCCCCCTTCTCGTGAAGTTTTAGTCGCCCCCCACACCCCCGGCTCATACCTGCTGTCCACAAGGCTCCCATGCGGCCGCCATCCTTCTTTCCAGAGAAGAGAGGGCGAATGGGGCAACACCCTTTCCCCTCTGGGCAGAAATGATGGCCTGGGTTAACTCATCGTCCGTTCACTTTTCTGCTCTAAGCTGCTGGTTTCTGCATTAAGTCCTTGTGTTTCTGGGGCTGTGGCCATGCTCCAAACTTAACTCTGATTTTCAGGGAGAAAGATTGGGTGGTTTACTTCTCATTGATCACTTTGTATATAGAGAGATGTCGCGCAGCCGCATAAGCGGCCGCGCGGTTTTGAGAAAAAGTCCTCGTTCCCGCATACTCGAGCTGTGTTTGTAGAGGCTTCTGGTCACCAGGGTTCCATCTGGGGGAGGCGAGATGCGGCGCCTACTCCATCTGGAACTTGCCGGTGCTCTCGGCTCTTTTTGGAACCTGTTTTTTCTTTTTTCTTTTCCTCCGGGATCCCGCACCCTCCATGTGTTCCTTCTCTTATTCTGAACGCTTCAAAGATGGCGCTGGGGGGCGGGCTGTGGGCGTGACTTCCGGGATCAGAGGTTACCTGGGAGGTGTAGTCCGGCAGATTTGAGAAAAAGTCCTCGTTCCCGCATACTCGAGCTGTGTTTGTAGAGGCTTCTGGTCACCAGGGTTCCATCTGGGGGAGGCGGGATGCGGCGCCTACTCCATCTGGAACTTGCCGGTGCTCTCGGCTCTTTTTGGAACCTGTTTTTTCTTTTTTCTTTTCCTCCGGGATCCCGCACCCTCCATGTGTTCCTTCTCTTATTCTGAACGCTTCCTAAATTTCAGTTTTATTCTCAAGCATTTTGACTCCTAAAGACTTTCTTGACCTGAACCATATCATTAGGAGGTTTGGTTCTTGGCTCTCTCGCAGAGTTTTACCTCGCTAAGAAGATCCCGGCTTCTAAGAATGAGGGCTACGTCTCTCTCCTGCCTGGCTCTCCTTCCCTTGCCACTGTTGTCCACCTAATTGGACATAAAATCCAGAGTTTTCACGGGGATAGAAAGGAATTCCTCACACACCCAGGTCCCCACAAAGAATCCATCACTTTTCGTTTGTTTCTAGAACATTTTAATCTCATCTCCCTGATCAGACGCTCCCCGAGTGGTTGAATCATCAGAATTCCTCAGAAAACTCTCAGAACTCCGTTTCCTGGGCCTCTCTCCAGCCCTGCTGAATCAGCTCTGTGGTCTGAGCCAGGAAATCTGCTTTACAAACTTCCCAAGTGGGTTTTGATGTGCAGCCAGGTTTGGCAGCCAACTGCTCTAAATCCCCATTTTCAATTATTTCTCATAGCTTTCCCCCTGGCAGCCTTGTTAAAGGTCTTCAGCTCATGTCAATTGTTCAAACTGACCGTTTTGCGATTCTTTCGAAAATGCTCAGGGTGCTCTTTTAGCCACACTGCCATGTAACATGGGAAGGAAGAAGGACCATAAAAGAAGGACCAAAAGCATCTGCTCTCGTTGCCAAGGGATCTGTGCTCATAGCAGAAAAGGCTGAAAGTAGCGCCTCCGTGCTGACGGGGCAGGTTGTTGCTTTGTACTGTTTTTAAGGTTTGGGCTGGACAGAGAGACAGAGGTTACTTGAGCACCTCGTTACTTATTTTCACCAATTCTAAGTCATCCAGTTTCAGGGTAACCATACGAGGTAGGTGGCATCACCCATTCTCTCACAGGACACAAAACTGAGGCTTTGGCCAAGGTTAATTGACTGCAGTCACATCAGTTGTCAGATTCTGCATTTGAATCCTGGACTGATTTCCCTGGACAGCTTTGGAAAGGTTCAAGGACTTGCTTGCCAACCTGTTCTTTTTTTTTCACTCTGCCAGGCCAAGCGTGCAGTGCAGCGGGGAGCCACCGCAGTCATCTTTGATGTGTCTGAAAACCCCGAAGCCATCGACCAGGTAGGCCGCCGGCGCCCTGCCAGTGCTGCCGTCTCCCCGGGAGGGGCAGCCTTGACTTACTGGGCTTGTCCACAGGGACAGTTGCACTCGTCTGCTGCCCTTCTCTGTGCACTTTTGCACATCATGCTCTAAAGCGAGTGTAGTAAGAAGGTGGAGGACCAGGAAGCTGAACATTTTCAAAAACCCTCCTGAGGTTCCCACCTGCCCGGTCCATCGCAGAGCACGTCCTTAGCCCCCCAGCGTTGCCCTTGGAGCTTTCAGCTTTTCTGCTCAAGGAACCCGAGCGTTCCAAGGAGGCATCTGGCAGGATTTTCTCTCCCGTCTTTCTTTCTCTTTCCTGCCTCTTAAAGTCAGCCCCGCCCCTTTTTCCCTTAGCTAAACCAGGGCTCCGAAGATCCCCTCAAGAGGCCAGTGGTGTATGTGAAGGGCACAGAAGCCGTGAAGCTGATGAACATCGTCAACAAGCAGAAAGTGGCTCGAGCTCGGATTCAGTACCGGACCCCTCGGGTGAGGCTCCCCCCGACCCCCCCACCCCACCCCCGCCCGCTGGCCCCTTCACCGGCGCCCGGGCCTTTCTGTCCTTCCAAGTCTTGCTTGTTCCTGTCTCCTCGTATGTGTCTTTTTTTTTTTATAATTTTTTTTTCTGAGGTCAGGGATCAGAGGCTGGTCTCAAGCGTGTAATGCATGCACTGTCCCCCCAAGCCCTGTTCCTGGCCTCATTCTTGTCTTTTGTCTAACATGCCGGCGTAACCCAGGTCAGTCCCAGTTCAGATCGGATATGAGACAGGGATCCAGGGAGAAATTTCAGCCCCGTTCCTTGGGACAGAAATAGCCGGTTGGTGCCAAGATGGCTCTGCCGTCCTCCCCACAGTGTCCACTTAGCTACGCCATCTCCCTCCAGAAGACTGAGGGAAGGGCCGTGCAACCCTTCTCGTCCCAGGCCTCCCTCCTTCCATTGACTGATGCCCAAGGCCTGCACCTTCCTTCCTCCCGGAGGGTAGATTGCATTATTAAAACTCCCCATCTAGGGGCCAGAGCGATAGCACAGCAGGGAGGGCATTTGCCTTGCACGCAGCCAATCTGGGTTCAATCCCCGGCATCCCATACGGTCCCCTGAGCGCCACCAGGAGTCATTCCTGAGTGCAGAGCCAGGAGTAACTCCTATGCTGAGTGTGACCCAAAAAGAAAGAAAAAAAAATCCCCAACTTACACTTGAGTCAGGGAAAAGTTAAGTTGCCAATAGGATTGAATTTCACTGATTTCGAGGTAGTTCATGCATAGTGTTTAGGTATCCGCTGGCCATCCGCCCCGGACAGGCCTCTTGGGCCTGAACCGCAGACTGAAGACTCGAGGAACCTGTGGCAGAGGCCTCAGCCCAGCTCGGGTTTGTGTCCTCCCCCCAGTCTGGACTGGTCCCATAGAAGTGAGTGCTTCCGCACACATGGAACACCTCGGGTTCGCTGAGCAAAGCCCTGGCCGTTGGCTTAGTGCACGGCCCAGGTGAGGTGGCATCAGGGCATGGGGCGGCCGTGTGCCGTGAAGGGGAAGGTAAGCGCGAGAACTCCGGTCCTCGCGGGACCGAGCTGGCTTCCTAAAGGGAAAAAGAGCACATTGGTAAATGTGACTCATTGTAGTGGAAGCTGATATTTGGGGAAGCAGCATACAATTTTCTGAGTTGTTGTAAACCATTAATTACATGGTTAGTAATCACTGTTCCCTCAAAACATGACACTCACTTCTTTGTCCCATAAATGTGATATTTGTGTTTATTCGGGCCGGCTGCTCCCCACAGCGGCAGCGCCCTCTGTACGTGTCCACCAGGAGTTCGGCGTGGCTGGTGGGCGGCCCGACGGCGTCGGTGCCCGTGACCAGCACCCTGGGTCCCCTGTCCTTAGCCCACCCGGGTGACTGCCTGGGTGCTGATCTCCGTGTCTGTGTTCCGTTCCAGCAACCCACAGAGTACTTCGACATGGGGATTTTTCTGGCGTTCTTCGTGGTGGTCTCCTTGGTCTGCCTCATCCTTCTCGTCAAGATCAAGCTGAAGCAGCGGCGCAGTCAGGTAACACCTCGGAGCAGCCGTGAACAGGGAGGCCTCCGCCATCTGTTCCCTGGGCGCGGGGAGCCACAGAGCAGGAGAGCAGCTAGGGCAGCAGTGCAGCTCCCCGCCTTCCCTCCCCCTGAGCGGCCAGACCTGCAGAGGCCGAGCCCAGGGTGTGTCACCAGCCAGGAGTGTTTCCAGAAAGATGCTTCACTGTGCAGACGAAGCTCTCGAGTCCTGGCCCTGCAGTAGGAGCAGCCTAGGGCCCAGCAGCAGCTGAGAGCTTGGTAGAAGATTTCAGGCGGGGGAAATAGTCCCAGGGTGAAGGCTCATGCCTTGCACACAGCCAACTCTCGTACTTCCATCGACGGAGAGGTAACTGCTGTGGTTCGATCCCCCAGCACCACATATGGTCCCCCGAACAGCACCCGGACTGATCCCTGAGCAGAGTCGGGAGTCAGCCCTGCGCTGAATGTGGCCTTAATAACCCCTCCCCCCCCCAAAAAAAAATAGAGAGAAATGCAGGTCTTTATCCAGTCCGCATATCGGAGGACATTGACACAAGTAGACAGTCTTCGGACCCAGCTGTCACCTCACTGAGCTTTTGTAGGAAAGGATTTGGGGGCAGAGCAGGGTGAGAGCATCACAGCAGGAAGCTGGATTCCCATATACCGAGTAGTCGAGGGCCTGGCAGGCCACCTGTCAGCACTCATGGGTTGGGTGACCACCACCCAGATCAGTGACTGGCCGCGCGCCTGTGACCGAGGCCGCATACTCCCCTCCTCATTGTGTTTGCCCTGTGAGCTTTCTCCAGTGGGAAGAGGAGGAAGCCTTGGCAGAGAATAGGTTAATGACTCAGCTCCCTACAAAGCTAAGTTTTTTTAAACTTTAGCTAAGCTAAGTTGTTGGAGTGGACTCCAGCTGTCTTGCCACTGAGGAAAGTCGGGGCTCTGTGAGGGAAGCCTCAAGGAGACCCATGATGATCCCTCCAAAGTCTGGCCTGGCCTGGCCCGGCGCCTCTGGAGCCACGGCCGTGCTGGTGACTGGCACTGGTGATCTATCGAGGCCCCTAAACCTGGGTCCCCTTCTGCCATACAGAATTCCATGAACAGACTGGCCGTGCAGGCCCTGGAGAAGATGGAGACCAGAAAGTTCAACTCCAAGAGCAAGGGGCGCCGGGAGGGGAGCTGCGGGGCCCTGGACACTCTCAGCAGCAGCTCCACGTCCGACTGCGCCATCTGCCTGGAGAAGTACATCGACGGAGAGGTAACCGCCACGGCCTGTCCGGCCCTGCCTAGCTAGAGCTGAGGTCAGCAGGCACCCCAGGTCTGGAGGGCTGGTACCCTGGGTGCTCTCTGCGGAGCTTTGCCAGAGCTGATAGCCACGTCCAGGCACACGTTTTGCAGAGCCGGGGAGCCAGCGGCCAGCTGCAGGGATCAAAGGCTCTTTCGGTGAAGGTCTCCCTCCACCCGCCGCGGTGGGGCAAGTGAGCCTTGGGGCCAAGAGTTTTAGGTGGACAATCTTACATGATGTCTGGATGTAGGCCTCTTGGGTTCTAACCCTGGTCCAGATGGCCTCTGACTTTTTAATCGTGGGCGAGTGACCTCATTGTCTGCGCCTCCCCGTGTGATGTGAGTCCCCCACATCCCGGGGTATCCCGAAGATCACAGCACAAGATGCAGGTCGGCCCGCACACTCTGTCGGGCATGTTGGGTGTCGTGCCAGTAGTGCTGTCTGGAGCTGGGCCGAGGATGGGGAAGCAAAGCAAACCCAGTAAGCTCAGAAACTCCAGAGGTGGTTCTGCCTCCCAAAACTCGTGTGTCCTCTCCACTTGGGCAGCTTTGTCATAAATCACAAACCACTCGGCCCCTCTGCTACCCCTCCTGGTAACCAGGAGTCCTGGGCACCTTTCTAATCAGCCACCGCCCTGGGAGGAACGGTCTCACTCCACACCCCCAGGCTGCTCATGTCCACTAACACAGGACTTGGGGCCTTTGGTCCTAGCTACGTGAGGCGTGAGTGGAAGCGCCCCCCAGTGACAAGAAAGGGGACTGCTTCTTTGCCTGTCCTGCAGCACCCAGGGCTGTGGCCGAGCTGGTGGAGGGGACGGGCCGGGCCGGGCCGTGCCTTCCTCCATGGGATGGGAGGCGCGGAGAGGGCGCGAAGAGAGCCTGGGGGCACCACCAGGGGGCGCAGTAGCACCGCCCGCCCTCCCCTCCCCTCCCTCAGGCCGTGTGTCCTCTCTCCCTTCCCAGGAGCTTCGGGTTATCCCTTGCACCCACCGTTTCCACCGGAAGTGTGTGGACCCATGGCTTCTGCAGCACCACACCTGCCCCCACTGTCGCCACAACATCATAGGTAATTGTCACCCACCCCAGCCCTTGCTGAGTGCAGTTGACACAGCAGCACGGCAGGTTAGTGAGGGAGCTGAAGCCCGCTGCATTGTCTTCTGCCCTTGGAGGCTGGTGCGCCAGGGATTCGCGACGTCACTGGGTCTCCAAACTCTCAGGAAAATGGACCCAAGGTCAAAAGCAGCTTCCTCACCTGGGCCAAGACAGCTGGACGCTGGGATGCATAGCACCCTCACCCCCTGTCTCCTTAGTGTTAGGTCTGTTGGGGGTGGGGGGCAGGGCCGTGATGTAACCCCTGCTTCAACAAGGGCAGGAAGCTTCCAGAAGCTGTTTCCCAAGAGGAAAAATACCTTTCATCTCGGTCCCCTCGTTGCTCTCCGAAGACTCCCATGGTGTCTTTGTCCGGCAGAGCAGGGGGCAGGTGAGTGACCCTCCCAGATGGAGAGGCGGCGGCCATCGTCGGCCTCCTCGCTGAGTTGGGTGACAGCTTAGAAGGGGCAGGGCCCCGAGGCCCTCTCCCGAGGGCTGTTTCAGCCGTGGCCCCTGTTCAGGCCCCCTGACCCCTGGGCCCCAGCGTGCGCGGCCCGGCTGACTTCGTGTTCCCGCCTCTCCCCAGAGCCAAAGGGAAACGCCGGCGCCGTGTGCGTGGAGACTGGCAGCCTGGCACGCGGCCGGCAGCAGAGGGTGATCCTGCCAGTGCACTACCCCGGCCGCGTGCACAGGGCCAGCGCCGTGCCCACCTACCCCACGAGGACCAGCATGGACTCCCACGGCAACCCCGTCACGCTGCTGACCGTGGAGCGGCCGGGCGAGCAGGGCCTGTACTCGCCGCAGACGCCCGCCTACCTCCGCGGCTACCCGCCCCTCCACCTGGACCACGCCCTGGCCCCGCACCGCTGCGGCCTGGAGCACCGCGCCTACTCGCCCGCGCACCCCTTCCGCCGGCCCAAGTTCAGCGGCCGCAGCTTCGCCAAGGCCGCCTGCTTCTCCCAGTACGAGACCATGTACCAGCACTACTACTTCCAGGGCCTCAGCTACCCCGAGCGGGAGGCCCCGGCCGCCCCCGGCCTCTCCCCGCGGGGCCCGGCGCGGGCCTTCCCCGCGGGCGCGGGCGCGGGCAGCGCGGGCGGCCTGCTCTTCCCCGGAGTGGTGCACGTGGGCGCGGCCTCGCACCTGGACAGCGGCAGCGCCTCGAGCTTCAGCTGCTACCACGGCCACCGCTCGGTGTGCAGCGGCTACCTGGCCGACTGCCCGGGCAGCGACAGCAGCAGCAGCAGCAGCTCGGGCCAGTGCCACTGCTCGTCCAGCGACTCCGTGGTGGACTGCACCGAGGTCAGCAACCAGGGCGTGTACGGCAGCTGCTCCACCTTCCGCAGCTCCCTCAGCAGCGACTACGACCCCTTCATCTACCGCAGCCGCAGCCCCTGCCGCACCAGCGACGCGGCGCGGGGGCCCGCGGCGCACCCGGAGGGCTCCCCGGCCCCGGAGGAGGGCCCGGCCGCCCAGAGTCCGGCGGCGGGGCGGGGCGAGCCCTGGCCCAGCCCGGCCTCGCCCTCGGGAGACCAGCTGTCCACCTGCAGCCTGGAGATGAACTACAGCAGCAACTCCTCCCTGGAGCCCCGGGGCGCCCACGGCTCTACCTCAGAAGTGGGGCTCGAGGCCTCGCCCGGGGCCGCCCCCGACCTCAGGAGGACCTGGCAGGGGGCCCGGGAGGGGCTGGCCTGTGCCTGCTGCTGCGAGCCCGCGCTCTCCGCACTGGAACCCGGCGCCGGGGCGGCGGGGGGCGGCCCCGCGTTCCTGGGCGCGCCCCTCTGTGAGGGCTGCGGCCCCGCCGGGGAGGCGCGGGCGGGCAGCCCCCCGGGCCTGTACGGCCTGCACCCGGACCATTTGCCCAGGACGGACGGGGTGAAGTATGAGGGCCTGCCCTGCTGCTTCTATGAAGAGACGCAGGTGGCCCGCGGCGGGGCGGGGGGCGGCGGCTACCCCGAGGACTGCGCGGTGAGCGTGCAGTACACGCGCGCCCCCGAACCCGCGCCCAGCTGCCACCCGGCGCCCCGGGACCTGAGCCAGCGCATCCCCATCATTCCCGAGGATGTGGACTGTGACCCCGGCCTGCCCTCGGACTGCCAAGGGGCCCGCAGCCTCGGGCCCTGGGGGGGGACGTCGGGCCCCGGGGCCCTGTGGCCGCCGAGGGGCCTGGGTGCCGCCCAGGAGGAAGAGCGGGCTTTGCGCTGCCAGGCCAGGACGCTGCCACTGCCCGACTGCCTGGCCAAGGAGGCGGGGGCGGCCAGGCCCGGCTTCCCCGGCCCCCCCCAGGACACTCAGGAGTCTGGTACCATGGCTGTGGAGGCCACAGGTGAGAGCAGGAGGTGACAGGACCAGAGGGGGCCCGGCGCTGTCCTCTTCTCTCTCCACGGTCCTTTTCCATTTTCTTCCCTTTTTTAATTTGCTGTAGTCCAGGGAACATGGTTGCAGCCATGTAGACGGTCATGGTTCTGGTGTATGGCTACTGCGCCTCACCGTCCGAACGTGCCCGATACCCTCTGCCGTCACCCGGTGCTGCTTCTGGCCCCCCGTGTCCTTTTCCTACCCCCAGCTGTCTCCGGGGTGAATTCTTTGGTGCCTTCGGCTTCCACGATCTTTCCCCTCAGAAGTCACAAACACAGCCCCGTCCATCATAGCCACCGCGGCACCACCCCCCTTCCCCAGTGTACCCTGCGCCCCAAAGACCAACCCAAAGCCCAGGAACCAGCCCTGTGCCCCTAGGAGCGTGGATGCTTGTTCAGAAAACTGAATTTTCCGAGAAGTCAAACTTCGCAAAAGACAGGCCAACTAGATTGCAGTTTTTATAACTGGATTCAGGTGGTCAGATTGCTCTCAGGTTCCCAGCCATTGGGTCTCTGTCATAAGCAACTTGTCGTCCCCCACCTTGTGTGACTTGTGACGGGACCTGCCTCCAGAAGAGATTGAAAGTGATCCTGTCAGCCCCCATTAGTCCCCTCGAGCACTGCCAAGAGTGGTCCCTGAGCACCACTGGGTGTAGCCCCGAAGCAGAAAAAGAAAGCGAAGGGGCCAGAGTGGTAGTACAGTGTGCAGGGCGTCTGCCTTGCGCACGGCTGAACTTGATTCAAGCCCCGGCATCCCATATGGACCCCCAAGCACTGCCAGGAGTAATTCCTGAATGCATCACTGGGTGAGACAACGCCCCCCCAAAGTAAATAAATAAAGCCAAAACCAAAGTAGATCCACAGTGGATTGATTTGTAGACCCCAGCTTCTGTCCCCACAGGCCGTTGCCTTTCTCACGGGGCGGGTTGCTGGTCTTGCCTTCTGCTCTGCATGGGAACAGAGTTTGTGAAACCTAAAACTCGAGGCCTTTAACAAGCCCTGTAACGGCTCACCATTGCCTTTCGACTTGGGGTCTGGGGCGGGGTCCTACTTCTCTCGGCTCCGGCTGTGCTTAGGTAGGGATCACATGCAGTGCTGGGGCTTCCAACCCCGGCCAGCTCCTTAGCCCGTCCCGCCTCTCCAGCGGCATCCTGCTAATCCTGCTCTCTCTCCCAGGACAGTGACCTCACCCAGCTGACAGCGGTGGCCCCCCGGGAGCCGGGCTCGGAAGGAATTCTTCAGTGGAAATGGGAACTGTACGGAGACTGCAAACTCAAAACGTCCTACAGAGAAAAGAAAAAGTCTAATTTTTTTTTAGCTTTGACAAACACAAAAGTGGTAATAAAGAGAGCCCTCCTTCTCAACCCAAAATGTGAGCCCCTGTGGCAAATCCCCCCCACCCCATTAACAAGCCAACAACAAAATTCTGCGTCTTTCGCCTCTTTTGAGAACATGTTATTATTCCTCCTGTTTTGTAAAGTGTGTGCTTGGGATTCTGAGGTGTGTGGGATTGAGTTCTCTGCTTTGTTTTTTAAGATGTTATATGTAAATGTAAAGTTATTTAAATATATATTTTAAAGAACCCTAACCGCCAACTTTTGCTGAAAAAGAAAAAAAAAAAACTCACTGCTGCATTAATTGAACCACATCATGTGTAGATACTGTTTCCCTGAGGGAGCTCAGGCCTTTGAAAAGCTCAGGGCTACACCTGCCTTAGAAAACGAACCCGAAACTTGAAGTAAAGCTAGTGGATATGGGTACAGACTCCGAGGAACAATGCAACGCTGCCTCTTCCTCCCGCCTGGCACATCCCAATGAAACGGAATTTCAGGTCTTGGGAGCCGTGCCTCTTCAGCTGCGAAGGGCAGCTTCCGATGGCAAAGAGCAGGCCACTGGACGCTAGCCCCAGGGTAACAGGTCACTCGGTCCTCAGTCCGTCCCCTTAGGTCTTTGTCCCAAGTGGAAGGACGGAGTTCACAGTCTCGATCTTGGTCTTCCTGCCGGTGCTGCAGAAAGGGTTGGGCCAGGGCTGTGGGGCCAGACACCCCGGGAGAATGTCACTTTGTTGCCTGGGTGTCTGAGGTGGCCGGGGGGAGCACGGGGCCAAGGGCAGCCGCACATGCGCGGGGGTGGGCAGGCCAGGGTCCCCCCGCTGCATCCTTGAGCCACCTTCCTGGGGGCCCTGCCTAGGACCCCTGAGGTCTGCTTCAAGCCCCCTTGGATGAATTTCCCGTCTATTTTCCTATGGAAACCACTTCAGGGTTGTTGCCTCTGCCTCGTGGCCCAAATGGCTCATCTTGCCTTCAAAGTCTACTATTCGTTCTGCCTAATGCACTATTACTATTACCTATTGCTTCTCCATGAGACAGAGAAAGAGACTATCAGATAGTTTAGACCCAAAGGGTAGGTTTTATATGTGTTTTTTCAGCGTTTTTTTTTTTCTTAAAGAGAGTTTAAAAACAAGCTTTTTTAAAAAAAGAAAAAAGATGTTTCCATGTTTAAAAGGGAGAGAGAATCTATTTAAAGCTATTTCAGATCAGGGATTGTCATCCATTTTATATATATATATATATGGGTTTTTTTTTTTTTTTCAGAAGAGAATCTAATCACATTAGCCCTTATATTCATTAACTCTTCTGGTCCCTTTTATTTATTTATTCGACAGATAATATGTTGACATCTGAAATGCTCACTTGCAGAATTAGAACTCTGAGACTTGTTCCCCAGGAAGTGGGGAAACGGGCCTGGCGTGGGGGTGGACTGTTGCCAGCTCTTAAAAGAATCTCACCGCACCAGGATCTTTTTCTCCTAAAAACCCCAACCCGAGCCAGGAGAGAGTCCAGGGGTTAAGGCGCTCGCTTTGCACACAGCCAACCCCAGGTGCATCCCTGGCACCACATAGGGTTCCCTGGAGCGCAGCTGGGTGTGGTCACACACAACACCCCCCCCAAAAAAAATACCCCAAAAGCCTGTGATGAGGTTATTGACTTATTTCTAGCCAGGATTTAAGGAAAACTTCAGTGTTGATGAGCCATTTGCCACTTAGGAACTCGTTGGTGAAATTTGCCCTCTGCCCTGTAAGGTACAGTCCCTTGGGGCTGCCCCCTCTCCCCCCTGTGCCCTGCACACCTGTTGGCGAGGGTGTGAGAAGTGCCTAAGCTGTTGACATGTGATCTGGGCCGCCTTTATTTCTCGGCCAGGAGCAGCAGCTGCTGAGGACCAGAGCTTGCGTGCCGGGCTTGGGGGGAGGGGCAGGGGAGAGATGGCTTTTAACCGGAATTGCCAAGGCAGCTTCTCCGTGGTGGGGTGGGGTGGGGTGTTGTTGTTGATGGGGGTTTTTGTTGGTTTTGAATGCATATTTGCGTCCTTGTCTGAAACTAGACCCACAAAGTGACTTGCTTTTGCCCTGGCTGGGAAACCCCCTCACTAGCCTTAAGCGATCCGCAGAGAATGTGGCTTCAAAGGGGCTCTTGAAAATAAACCTGTCCGATTTTCACTTGAAAGAGTAATCACTACAGATGGCACGTTGTAGTCTGTCGTTTACAGGGTGGTAGAACCCCAAAAAATGGCGTTTGAAAACTTGTAACACATTGGCGCTGGCGTGGACCACGCGTGGAGCACGCTTGAGCGTGGACCACAATTGCAGCGTCGTCAACATGTTAAGTAACAGCCATTGTCTTCAGTTGTGTTCCCCGATCAGAGCTCAGAGTAGGGGAGGGGGTGGGGGGGGACCAGGATCTAGTAACCGATTACTAACTGCCTCACCGTTTCGATCAGAAGTTGAGAGCCAGAGAGTTATAGGGGTTAAGGCAGAAACTTGCCTTAAACCGAGAGGTTTTCTCTGAAGCTCAAAGACTTCAATAGTGCCAAGTACTTTCTTGGTGGCCTCTTAGTGGTGGTGACAGGGGAGTGGAGAGGGTCTATTGCTGCAGAAACTGGGAGCATGGTATTTTCCATGGAGAGCCATACCATCCGTACCCCCCAAGTCAGGCATGGTCCCAGGACCCCAGCCTGGGCACAGGACAGCCTTGTCACTGAAGAGTGCCAGAGCCAGTGATAGTTGGGCGCTTGGGGGTTTGACTGTGGAGGCCTCTCTTGGAGGACCTAGTCCCAGGGTGCTGGCTTTAGCTCTGTGCCACCCGAACCATTTTCTCGGAACCGGAACTGTTTCTTAGTGCCCTGCCACCAACCCCTCCCTCACGTGCTGCTAGTTCTACTCAAAGTTCACGCAGGACTAACGCTTTTAAAATGAGGTCTGGAAGAGAATTACTAATCAAGAGTATTATTTTTAAAAACAGAACTGCCTTTTTCTATTCTTTATATAAACTATTGTGTTGGTCTAACAAGGCACTATTTTTAAAATGTTTTTTAAAATTTTTTCTCCCATAGCACTTAAAAAGATATTTTGTAAAAACTTTGCTGTAAAGATTTTTGTAATGAAATGGTCTAAGGGCTCCTTCTCCAACATTACCATTTTTAAAAAATGTTTTAAAGGCTAGAAAACAACTTATGTATATTCTGTATATGTATAGCAGCACATTTCATTTATGGAAATATGTTCTCAGAATATTTATTTACTAATATATTTATCTTAAGCCATGTCTTATGTTGAAAGTGTGACATTGTGGAATAATCATTGAAAATGACTAACATGAGGCCCTGTAAATACATGATAATTGCACACAGATTTTACATATTTGCCGACCAAAAATGAATTAAAACAAGTTTCTTCTATGGTTTTTGTAACAAATTGTACAAATGACTGTAAAAAAAATACAATTTTATCAAGTATGTGTTATATGTTGTCATTGCTCCCTGGTGTAACGATCCGTAAACCCCCTCAAAGAAGTTGGCATGAAGGCGGTGCCCTTCACTCCAACTTCTGCAAACATCCGTCATTTCCTCCTACTCGCGTAGTTCAGCGCCAGGGTGGACATACCATAGAGCGTGGGGATTATGTCCTATTATGTCCTTGGTGGGGGGCGGGTAGTTTTTCTGCACAGCCTGGTGATGAGGGAGTAGGGGAAGTGGTAATTCGTGGAGAGCCGCACAGTTCACTCCAGAAACTGGGCCAGGTCAGAACAAGAGTTCAGGTAAGGCGCCTTGGACACGGGCATCCGGGTTTGATCCCCTGCACCATACATGTTCCCTGAGTACAGAGTCAGGAGCAAGCCCTGAGCACTGCTGGAGTGGCCAAAAACCTTTGAAAAGAGGGACTAGAAAGATATTATAGTGGGTAGGGGGCTTGCCTTGCATACAGCCGGCCCAGGTTCAATCCCTGAATCCCTGAGCACCACCCCCTCAAAAAAAAAAGAAACTGGGAACATGGGGTTGAATCGAAGTCATTGGCTTCATCTGCCAGACCTTTTTCTGCCTGGAAGACTCTAGCCCTGTAAGGAAAGGGGGCATGTAGGGCCTCCTATTTGGGGGCCGGGGAGATGGCTTCAGGGCTTGAGTACGTGGGGAGGCCCAAGTTCAGTCTGCAGCTTCAATTGGTCCTTCCCCAAGCACTGTCCACAGTGGCCCCAGAATAAACCCAAACCCGGAACAGCCGTGTTCACTACCTAACCCTGCAAATGGAGGGGAATCTTCGTCTGAAGGAATGGAGCCCATTGGTCCTGTTGACCGAGGAGAGTTCTGCCTTTGTAAAGCACTCGGAGATGACAAGGAAGGTGCAAAACGGTGTTTATTTTTCAGACGTCTAGCAGAGAATATGCTAACCCCAATTGAATCCCATGTTTCATTTGGGCCACTTGCTGGGCCCTGGGTCCTCAAGGACTTCCAGCAGTTTTATGCCCTGCAGGGAGTGTCCCTGGTCACTCTCAGGGGCAGCTGCCTGCCTGCGCAGCGCCTCCCAAAGCTTTTGTTTAATGGTCTTGCCCAGCTCCAAGCTGTATCTCTTGAGGCTCCCTGAAGGATTCCGTAGCATAGGTTCGACCACGGCATGGTAGAGAGCCCGGTACCCCTCTGTGGGCAGGCCGTGGATGGTGAGCACGTTCTCGGATGATGGCAGCTGCTGTCTCTCCCTGCCCGGCCCAAGCAACACGCCGCCCTTCCCGGCTGCGGTCCCAGTGTCCCAGGGTAGCGATTGGGTGGCAGCCACATGTTCAGCGTATCTGTTCTCAAGATCTTGGCGGCCTGTGACTTTTTTCTCCTTTGAACTTTCTTTACTCTAAGCCAGGAAGAAAGCAGAGAAGTCAGAGCTAAGACTTGAGATGGGAGCCCGGGATGATTATCTGGGATTTGTGTTCCAGCGTCTTGGTTACAGCAACAACCAACATTTGTCTAACAGGTTCTCGTTCCCTGCATTCCTTCCTCTGGACCGCTGCCTGCACACCCCCTGACCCCATAAGGTCAGCAAGAGATGGCTTTAAGGGCAAGAACAGAGGCCGAAGCCATAGTACAGCGGGGAGTGTGTTTGCCTTCCATGCGGCCAAGCTGGGTTTAATCTCTGCCATCCCTCATGGAGCCCTGAGCACCGCCAGGAGTAACTCCTGAATGTAGAGCCAGGAGTAACCCCTGAGCATTGCTGGATGTGACCCAAACGCAAAAAGCAAAATTTTAAAAAAAAAAGGCTCAATATTCACAGAGGTGAGTATTTATGGAGGGATAGTACAGCCAGTAGACCGCTTGCCTTACATGCGCTTTTGCTGGGTTTTGGTCCCTAGCACCCCAAATGGTCCCCAGAGCTCCACCAGAAGTGACCCTTGAGTTCAGAGCCATGAGTAAGTCCTGAGTACCGCTGGGTATGGCCGCAAAGGGCTTCTAAGCATTTCCTCTGCCCAGCTCTGCTCAAGAGCCTTTTGCATGCATTACCTCATTTAAGCCCTTGTAAGACGGCTAGTCTCCATTTTAGGGAACACAAAAAAAAAAGTACAAAAACAAAAAAAAAACAAGGCACAGTGGTACTCAATTACAGTCCAAGTTGGGGTTTGAACCCTCACTGCCTTGTTCCAGGGCACTTTCATAACTGTGCCGGCCACCAAAGTAGGGGTATGCCACTCAGATCAGTCCTCTGCTTGCCAGGTTCCCCGAGTGGAAGTTGAGAGCCACATCTGTGAGTCACCTCTTGGGTGCCAGTCATATGTACCTGCACTTCCCCCCCAGACCCTGGGTCCTGCCTACCTTTATTTTCCCATAAGCTCAAGTTCCTTTGTCTGGGTTTATGGAAAAAAATAAAAACTGCTTCATCCTCTTGAAGTACTAGGTAGAGAATAAAAAGCCCCAGAACTGCACACAATCTTTTTTTTTTTTAATGTAGGAGTACTGCTATTTATTCAGCCACTGATTAGCTGATTGAATACACAATCTTTTTAATATCAAGTCACCATCCTCCTGCCATCCCCCACAATCATGTCCTTCTTCCCACCCCCTATCCCCATCATCTACCTCACTGATGCCTCCTGCCAGCCTCCTGCGTCTCAGGAGTCCCAGCCGCTGGTCCCCTGGCTGCTTGTTCTGCAAACGGCTGGAGGTTCTGTTCCTGTCCTGGAGGCTAGGCTTCATGGCTGGATTGTCCGGAGAGCTGAATCTCTTCGAGGTCTTTGCTTTTCCCAACATATGTGGCCCTGGGCAGCATTTATCCTTCAGCTGTCGCCTGAGCACCAACTTAACCAGGGAGAATGAGCTGGCAATCAACGGGTTACTGACAACTTCCCAAGAAGAGGTGATACCTGGTGCGGGGCCATTGCCATTCCAGTTTGCGCATTCTCTGGCTGTCCAGATGTTGGCGAGAGCCGGCGTGTCCACATAGCAATCCTGGAGCCTGGTGTTGAGTAAGATGGACTGCCGAAGTCCATAGGTGGGGATGCTGGGATTGCGCCTCGCATAGATTGGATGCTAGAATTAGAAGGAGCGGGAGAAACAAAATCCCAAACAGTTCTCAAGCGAAAACTGAAAGGTCTACTTTGGAGGCTAAGGATTAAGATCTTGCTACAGATCATTCCTTCCACCTAGGCCTCAGAAATAATCTTTTTTTATTTTGTTTTTGGGTTACACCCAGCAATGCTCAGGGGTTATTCCTGGCTCTGCACTCAGGAATCACTCCTGGAGGCGCTTGGGGAACCATGTGGGATACTGGGAATTGAACCCAGGTTGACTATGTGCAAGGCAAGTGTCCTACTTGATGTACTTGCCTCAAAGATACAAAAAGACATTGGTGATAGGTAAGAATGGTTGTAAGACCCCCCCCCCACCTTAGAATACCTTTGGGGCCAGAGTGATAGTACGGCAGGTAGGGCACTTACCTTACACACAGCCAACCTGGGTTCAATTCTCAGCATCCCATATGGTCCCCCAAGCAATGCCAGGAGTAATCCCTAAGTGCAGAGCCAGGAATAAGTCCTGAGCACCACAAAGTGTAGGCAAAAAACAAAAGCCAAAAAATAAAAAAGTCTTTGTATCTTAGTTCTCAAAGCCATGGTAATATTCAGATTCTTAAACAACTTGCTTAGACTGGAAGTTGGGAGTTGGGAACATTTCTACGGAGCCAAAGACGATTGCTTAAGGGGACCCTTGGCAGGCAAGGAATAGAAGACAGGATCACTCAAAATTCCTCCACCAGCTGTAGTCACTTCTCAACCAGACCGTACCACAGAAATGACAGCAAGGGAAAATCCTGCCAAACTCTAAACCCTTTCGAAGTAGACTTCCATGAGTCAAGCTGCTAAGCAAGCAAATCTACTCTGGAGTCCATAAAGGTATAAAATGACGTAAAGGCAAAAATAACAACATAAAGGATGCTGGCCTTCATTTCCTAGGACCAACCACGATCAAGAGAACAATTTGGAGAGATTAGAATTACATACTTAAAGACACCTGGCTTTCGACAAAATGGCATCTATAAAAGAAAAAGAAAATCACCTTACCATAATTCAGTTGTCTTAAATTTTATTTTTTCTAGCTTAGTAGAGGGAAGAAATATGTACTTCCTTTCCCCTTTTTCTCATTTGTTGTTTTGCTTTGTTTAATTTGAATATTTCAAGTCTTTTTCTGCCTCAGTCACGTATGGGCAAATTGCAGCTTGTTTCGTTTTGGGCCCATGTAGATGCAGTTTTGAATCATTATCTGTAGTATTTGTGATGTCACTTTGGTTTGTGATGTGGGTGTGGGTGGATGTTACATCATCAGATTTTTATAGCTAATTTATGAGGGAAGAAATTCTGTTTTGTGGTGTTTCCCACCTCAAGAATTTCTGTAGACCTGATTCCTCTCCCCCTCCCCAGCCTACTCCAAATAACAAGGGTCTAACTTAAAGACCCTCTGGCACCTAAGATGCAGGCTTTTCAGGCCTGTAGCAATAGCACGGTGCGTAGGGCATTTGCCTTGCGTGCAGCCGACCCAGGTTCGATTCCCAGCATCCCATATGGTCCCCCGAGCACCGATAGGAGTAACTCCTGAGTGCAGAGCCAGGAGTAACCCCTGTGCATTGCCAGGTGTGATAAAAAAAAGAAGAGAAAAAAAAAAGAAGCAGGCTTTGCATGCAACAGAGCGAAGTATGCAAAGCAGATTTGTGGGTACAGGTAGTGGGATGCATCTTTCCACAAGCACAAGTGCCCTTCTCCATGCACATAAAGGAGGTACTGTTCAGTTCTCAGAACAGCTGCCAAGGTTAGGGACGTGCACGGAAAGAACACGTTCCTGCAGCCCTGGGCACCTCTCCCTGTGTGTGTCTCCCAGGAAGACAACATGGTTTCTGGAAGGTGGTTGTTTTTTGTTTTTTGTTTTTTTTACATCCCATGGCAAATGCAGTAATTAGAGCTGTTCTTGGTGTCAAGGGCTTGAACTAAAAACAAAGACGCCTCTTCCTGGGATCTCTTGGGCAATGCTTTGCTCCTTATCAGGTGCCTCTCCTGCTGGGGGTTTTGATTTTTCATACACAAAAGGCCAAAGGAGGCACCTTCCCTAGGGGGAGGAGAGCAGAATGATGGAAAAATCGAGTCTGTGTCTGGCAGAAGCTCCTGGAATCACATGTGTTGCCTGGTTGATTTTTCAAGTGTTGTCCCTGGAGTGAATCAAAGTCTGCAGGCAAGGCCACACCACAGACCCTGGTGGAACCACCTCCAGGCCCTCGACTGACAAATGCTCCCGTAGGACAATGGGGCCCATTCAGCAGTGAGTCCTGGCCTCATCTCCAGAGAGGTGGGTCAGGCCTCAAGCAGGGCGTTGGAAAGGGTTTGTCTCTGGGAAGGGTTTGCGAATGTCTGGAGCCTGGTTGGGCAGCATCCTTCCCCAGCTGGTGCATCCTAGAGAGGGGACACGGGCTTCTTGGGCTACCTTCCTCCTTTCTTCTGCACTGCAGGAACGAGAGGGAAACTTACACCAATAAAGATGTTGGGGCTGGAGTGATAGCACAGCGGGTAGGGCGTTTGCCTTGCACGTGGCCAACCCGGTTTGATTCCCAGCATCACATATGGTCCCCTGAGCACCCCCAGGAGGAATTCCTGAGTGCAGAGGTAATCCCTGTGCATCACCAGGTGTGAACCCCCCCCCAAAAAAAAAGCTTAAAAAAAGATGTGGGGCTGGAGCAATAGCACAGCGGGTAGGGCGTTTGCCTTGCACGCAGTCGACCCGGGTTCGATTCCCAGCATCCCATATGGTCCCCTGAGCACCACCAGGGATGATTCCTGAGTGCGAAGCCAGGAGTAACCCCTGTGCATCGCCAGGTGTGACCCAAGAAGAAAAAAAAAAAGATGTAGGAGAACTTGAACTCTTGTCTCCCATCTCCTCTTCCCCATCTTTTTGTTGTTGTTTTGTCTTTGGGCACACTCAGTGATGCCCAGGGCTCACTCCTGGCTCTGCACTCAGGAAGTACTCCTGCTGGTGCTCAGGGGACCCTATGGGATGCCGGGGATCAACAGGCATCTTACTCATGTACTATCTCGTCAGCCCCTCTCCTTCCCAAGCTTGGCTCACAGTTCCTCTCTTCCTCTTTATAGATGCTCACCTGTTATATTTACTTTCCTTGTCCTTTTACTCAGCGACTAAACAACTCTGCTTGGGAGAGCTCACAGAACCTCCCTTTAGCCCCGGGCTGTTCTTGTGGATGGCAGGTCACTGTTCAAATCGGATCCACTCTGCCTACTGTGTTCCTCACTTCAATTCACTGTGTCCTGGAAGTTCGAGTACTTTAGAACACTTAGCCTTTGTTATTTCTCCTACATGAAACAAAGAAATATTAGTCATTTTTTTTTTAACGCTTCGTGTAGGCCAGGCACTGTTCTGGGCACTTAATACAATCACTTCATGAAATACTACCAGCAGTAGTGTGGTTTTGTGGATTGTGGCCAGCCCCATTTCACAGATGGAGAAACTGAGGAACAGGTGCCTCTGTGCTCTCCTAGTGCCTCTGCACTGCTGGAGGTCTCCTGCCCAGATTAAAAAAAATGAGAAATCAAAATGCAAATACAATTTGGTCCAGAGTTCTAATTACTTTTCTTCCTTTCTTTTCTTTATTTTTAATTATGGGGGGGGGGGGGCGAGTCACGGCTCAAGAACCGCAACCCTAATCCCAAAGCTAGTAGCCAACAACGGCTGGTCTCAAGTCTCGCTCTCTACTTGGAACTACAAGTGATGCTTTAAGGCCTGCCCTCAACTCTGCATAGTTACTTGTTCTACCTGGGCTCAGTTCTAGTACTGTCTTCATCATGAGACTGTCTTTGGACTCTGGAGTTCATTTGCCCTAATTATCCATGTCCCTCCCTCAAGGATAAGTGAATTCACATCTTGAAACTTTACTTTCCTCATCTGTGAAATGGGAATAGTAATAGAGCTTACCAGCTGTGAGGATGAAACAGAACAATGCTTGTGAAGCTCTTGACACATAGAAAGCACTCCTAGGGGGCAGAGGAGTGCAGTGAGTAGGGTGTCTGCCTTGTGCGTGGCCGACCCGTGCTCCATCCCTGGTATCCCATATGGTCCCCTGAGTACCACCAAGACTAATTCCTGAATGCAGAGCCAGGGGTAAACCCCTGAGCATCGCCAGGTGTGACCACCCCCCCACAAAAAAACAAAAAGTACTCCATAAATAATGTTCTTATTAGATCATGTCCTCTTCAAGACCCTTTCTTAAGACTGTTGCCCATGACTGGGGCTGGAGCAATAGCACTGCGGGTAGGGTGTTTGCCTTGCACGTGGCTAACCTGGGTTCAATTCCCAGCATCTCATATGGTGCCCCGAGCACCGCCAGGAATAATTCCTGAGTGTAGAGCCAGGAGTAACCCCTGAGCATCGCTGGGTGTGACCCAAAAACCAAAACCAAAAGAAAAAAAAAGTAAGACTGCTACCCATGACCTAAGTGACATTAACTTAATATTACATAACTACTTCATCTCACATTCTACTGATTCTGATTTGACCTGTGACTTTTCTTTTCCCATGATCCATCTTCACTTAAGCCTGTGTCAGATTCAGGGCGTACTTAAAGGTGACACATTGTCTGCTGTGCTGTGCTAGAATATTGTTAAGAATATCCCATACTGGGCTGGAGCAATAGCACAGTGGGTAGTGCACAGAACCAGAAGTAACCCCTAAGCATCGCTGGGTGTGACCCAAAAAGCAAAAAAAAAAAAAAAAAAAAAGAACATCCCATGCTTCCTTCCCTGAAAAAGAAGTGAGTCTCCAAAGATGTGTAAAGGCAAGTGACTAGCCAATTGAAGGTTGTTCGGGAGATGGTTCATAATTATAAATTGTGAGGGACCAGGGAGATAAGGTCAAAAGGCTAGAGTGCATGTCTGGCATGACAGGGTCCTGGGTTCAAATCTCAGCCCTGCGTAACCTCCCTTGCACCAGCAGGTGTGCCCTGCAGTGCCGGAGGTCTCCCGCCCAGATTTTTTTAAAAA